GGAGCGGGGTGATGGAAAGAGGGAGAATGGGGCGGGGTGATGGAAAGCGGGAGAATGGGGCGGTGGTGATGGAAAGCGGCGAGAATGGGGCGGGTGATGGAAAGCGGGAGAATGAGGCGGGGTGGTGATGGAAAGCAGGAGAACGGGCGGGGTGATGAAAGAGGGAGAATGGGGCGTGGTGATGGAAAGCGGGAGAATGGGGCGGGGTGATGGAAAGTGGGAGAACGGGGCGGGGTGGTGGAAAGCGGGAGAATGGGGCGTGGTGATGGAAATCGGGAGAATGGGGCAGGGTGATGGAAAGAGGAAGAATGGGGGTGGGTGATGGAAAGCGGGAGAATGGAGCGGGGTGATGGAACGAGGGAAAATGGGGCGGGGTGAAGGAATGCGGGAGAATGGGGCGGGGTGATGGAAAGAGGGAGAATGGGGCGGGAGAATGGGGCGGGGTGATGGGAAAGCGGGAGAATGGGGCTGGGTGATGGAAAGCGGGGAGAATGGGGCGGGTGATGGAAAGCGGGGAGAATGGGGCGGGGTGATGGAAAGCGGGAGAATGGGGCGGGGTGAGGGTGTGGAGAGCGGGAGAATAGGGCGGGGTGATGGAAGGAGGGAGAAAGGGGCGGGGTGATGGAAGGAGGGAGAACGGGGCGGGTGATGGAAGGAGGGAGAATGGGGCGGGGTTATGGAAAGCGGGAGAATGGGGCGGGGTGATGGAAAGCGGGAAAAATGGGGCGGGGTGATGGAAGGAGGAGAATGGGGCGGGGTGATGGAAAGCGGGAGATTGGGGCAGGGTGATGGAAAGCGTGAGAATGGGGCTGGGTGATAGAAAGCGGGGAAAAGGGGGCAGGGTGATGGAACGTGGGAGAATGGGGCTGGGTGATGGAAAGCGGGAGAATGGGGCGAGGTGATGGAAAGCGGGAGAATGGGGGGGGTGATGGAAGGAGGGAGAATGAGGGGGTCTGATTCCACCCTCTTCTCCCAGATTCCATCTCCTTCTCCCAGATTCCATCCCTTCTCCCAGATTCCATCCCCTTCTCGCAGATTCCATCCCCTTCTCTAGATTCCATCCCCTTCTCCCTGATTCCATCCCCTTTCTCCCAGATTCCATCCCCTTCTCCCAGATTCCATCCCCTTCTCCTAGATTCCATCCCCTTCTCCCAGATCCATCCCCTTCTCCCAGGGTTCATCCCTTCTCCCAGATTCCACCCCCTTCTCCCAGATTCCATCCCTTCTCCCAGATTCCATCCCCTTCTCCCAGATTCATCCCCTTCTCCCAGATTCCATCCCCTCTCCCAGATTCCATCCCCTTCTCCCTCATTCCATCCCCTTCTCCCCGATTCCATCCCTTCTCCCAGATTCCATCCCCTTCTCCCAGATTCTAAACCCTAAATCCCCCTTTCCATCACCTGCCGGCCCCGCCGTCCCCGTCCCTGCACCGCCGGCCCCGCCGCCCCTGGTCTCGCGGGCCCGCCACCCTACCTGCAGCAGCCGAGCCGCCCACCTGCAGCAGCCGAGCAGCAGTGCGGCCGAGCCGTCCGGCACCCGAGCCGCCCTGCCGCCGAGCCGCCCGGGAGCCGAGCCGCCCGCACCCGAGCCGCCCGACACCCGAGCCGCCCTGCCGCCGAGCCGCCCGGGAGCCGAGCCGCCCGACACCCGAGCCGCCCTGCCGCCGAGCCGCCCAGCAGCCGAGTCGCTGAGTCGCCGAGCCGCCCTTCTGCAGAGCTGCCCGGCCTGCCCTGCCTGGTGAGCACAGTCCCACTGTCACTGCGTGCTCTTCTCCTACTGCTTGCACTGCTTCGCTGTCGTCGTCATGGCTACCCTAGTGTCTAGCTTTTGACGCTGAGGGTCGCGCCATTGACTTTGAGGTCTGGGTCGACGACCTGCAGTTGTTTTTACAGTGCGATAGGGCAGACGGCCTCTCTCTCTTTGACCTCACTTCTGGCACCTCTCCTGCCCCTGCTGCTGATGCTGATCCCACTGTGCGCTCTCAGTGGGCCACCCGCGATGCTGCTGCACGTCTTGCTGTGCGTCGCCACCTCCCTCCTTGAGCGCGCACACTTTAGTCAGTACAAGAGTGCTCAGACCTTGTACGACGCTGTAGTTCGCGCTACTCCTCCCCTGCCACTGCTGCAATGAGCCGTCTCATGCTTCCCTACCTCTTTCCTGACCTCTCTGCCTTTCCACTGTCGCTGATCTCATTATGCACTCCGCACTAGTGACACTCGCTACCGCGCCGCCCTTCCTGCTGAGTTCTGCGCTAAGAACCCCCCCCCATGTACATCACTCTCTACTACGTAGTCGCGCCCTCCCTGACTCCTTCGCGTAGTCAGGGACCACTTTCTCGCAGTCTGCCCACCACCCTCACCGTCGACGTCCTCGAGAAGGCCCTCCTTGCGGCGGAGAAGAGCATCGTCGCTGTAGGAGCTTCTCGTGGTGACCCTCGCACCCCCATCTTGAGGGGTGCTCTCCTTCCCCCCTTGCTGCCCTCTGTTGCCTCTGCTGCTGCTGCCGACCTGCTTGGTCTCGAGTCGGTTGGCGCGGCGTTTGCCCCTAGTGGAGACGCCGCTCTGGCAAGGGCAAGGGGAGCAAGGGCGCTGGTGGAGCTGGAGGAGGAGGCGGTGGAGGTGGCAGTGGAGGCAGCGGAGGGAGTGGGGGTGGCGGCGGGAGTTGTGGAGGGGGTGGTGGTGGTAGTGGTGGCAGCGGCGGAGGAGGCGGCGGTGGTGGCGGCGGCGGTGGTGGTAGCGGCAGTGGTGGCGGTGACGGTGGGGGAGGCGGCGGCGGAGGAGGCGGTGGTGGCGGAGGAGGTGGAGCTGGTCGAGGCGGTACCCAGCAGCGGAGCGGCGGTGGTGGTGGTCAGCGCTCGCAGCAGCAGCAGCAGCAGCGTTCGCGTGACGTCCCTCTGCCCCAGCAGCTCGTGAGTGGTACACTCGGCGTCAGAGGGGTGGGGGTACTGGTCCTTGCACCTACGTCCTTCGTTCCGGCGACCGCGCGGTGTGAGCAGTGTGGGGGTGCCCACCCCACCCAGCGCTGCTTTGGCCGCCTGACGGACGCTTGGCGTCAGCAGTTCCCCAGGGCTAGTGAGATCCCTCGCAGGGATGAGCTTCTTCGGGCTGGTTGTAGCGATCTTTGATCTTGATTTTGATGCTATCCTTGCTGCTATGTATGCTGTGACTATTAGTGAGGAGGGTGACTGTTACCGGTGTTTCTCGCCCGACCCGGGCATTGGTACTGCTGCGCTAGGTGCTTGTGAGGCTGCCGCTCTAGGTGCCAGTGCGTCTGCGCTCTCAGGTGCTGGTTAGACTGCGCTCTCAAGTACTGCGTCGCCTTCGTCCTCCCTCACTTCACACTTGACTCTGGAGCTTCTCGCTCCTTCTTTCGAGACCGCACCCACACCTCACGCCGCTTGGCCGGCCGATTGCGGTCTCCCTGGCTGACCCCTCTGGGGGTCCTGTCCTCTCTCACTTCTCTACTGTGCTCCCGTGTCCGGCTGCCCCCTCGGGCACACTGTCTGGTCTGTACCTTCCCTCGTTCTCGACGAACTTGGTGAGTGGTGCGGACCTACAGGATGCGGGGGTTCACCAGTTCACTCCTGCGAGTCAGCGGGTGACCCACTGCACGGACGCACGCACAGGCCGACACCTGGCCACGTTCTCACGTCGGCCAGGGTCGAGCCTCTACACCCTGACCACTACATCTCCTCCTGTCCCTGCGTCGGGTCAGGTAGCTGCGTCAGGTCAGGTGCTTGCTGCTGCGTCCGGGTCAGGTCCTGAGTCTGCCCTGTTCTTGTCGCCTCTGTCTCACGAGACTCTCCTGTGGCACCACCGTCTGGCACACCCTCCTTGCCCCGTCTTCGGAGCATTGCTTCCCGTGTCCTTGTCTCTGGTCTTCCCGGTCTCTCCCTCCCCTTCCCTCCGGGCCAGGACCTTCCGGTGTCCCCTATGTCGAGGGGCGCCTCCGGGCTGCTCCTCACTCCTCCCAGTTCCCCCCGACAGAGGCTCCACTGCAGACCCTTCACATGGAAGTGTGGGGCCCAGCCCCCGTCAGTGGGCAGGGTCACGAGCGCTACTTCCTGTGTTGGTGTTGACGACTACTCGCGTTACACCACAGTCCTCCCCTTGCGCAGCAAGGGTGCTGTCACTGAGGTGCTGATCGACTGGATCCGCGAGGCTCGTCTCCAGCTCAGGAAGAGCTTCGGCTCAGACTTTCCTGTTCTGCGTCTGCACTCGGACAGAGGCGGAGAGTTATCCTCTCACCTTCTGCGAGACTACTGTCGTGCACGGGGGATCCGCCAGACCTTCACGCTTCGGACTATCCACAGCAAAATGGGATTGCTGAGCGCCGCATTGGCATGGTCATGGATGTCGTTTGTACGTCCATGATGCATGCGGCTGCCCCCATTTTCTGTGGCTGTTTGCGGTGAGGTACGCGGCGCATCAGCTCAACCTTCACCCAGGGTCTCTCGGCCCGCGATGTCCCCAGTCTTGCTGTGGACGGGGAAGGTTGGCGATGCGTCGGCGTTCCGTGTCTTGGGATCTCGGGCGTTTGTCGAGACTTGTCTGCGGACAAGCTGTCCCCTCGTGCTACTCCCTGTGTCTTCCTTGGCTTCCCCACTGACGCTCCAGGGTGGCAGTTTTACCACCCCTCCTCTCGTCGTGTTCTGTCCTCCCAGGACGTCACGTTCGACGAGTCAGTCCCCTTCTACCGCCTCTTCCCCTACCGCACTCCTTCCCTCCCCCCTCCGCCGGACTTCCTTGTACGGTTCCCCCCCGGTAGACCCCCTCCTCTCTCAGGTGTGTCCCAGGTAGACGCAGTTGACCCGGTCGAGGTTACTGGTGACTTTGGTGCTGCTGGGGTGCTGAGCCAGGGGGTGCTGACTCTGGGGGGGTGCTGTGCGCGGGGGGTGCCGGGCCTGGAGGTGCTGAGCCTGGGGGTGCTGGGCCTGGGGGTGCTAATGCGGAGGGTGCTGAGCCTGGGGGTGCTGAGCCGGGGGTGCTGTGCCTGGAGCTGCTGAGCTAAGGGGTGCTGGGTTGGGGGTGCTGAGGTGGGAGCTGCTTAGCCTGGGGGTGATGAGTTGGGAGCTGCTGAGCCTGGGGGTGCGAGTCTGGAGCTGCTGAGAGCCTGGGGGGGAGTTGATGCTGTGAGCCTGCCCGGGATTCTCTGCTGCTGCGTCTCGACGGGGAGCCCCTCTCTCCACAGGAGCTGCGCGAGTGGTTTGCTCGCGCTGGAGGCGTGCTGCTGGAGCTGGTGCTTCTTCGACCGTCGAGGGTGCTGGTGCTGCCGGTCCCGGAGCTGCGGTCTGGGCTGCGGGTCCTACTGGAGCTGGAGCTGCTGAGGGTGTTGTGGTGCTGAGAATACTGCTGTCTGTCCTGGCGGGGGTCTGCTGCTGGTGCAAAATAAAAAGAACAGGGTCTAGCATGTGCAAAATTGCAAGAATAAGGGCCTAGCGTGTGCAAAATAAAAAGAACAAGGGTCTAGCATGTGCAAAATTGCAAGAATAAGGGCCTTAGCGTGTGCAAAATAAAAAGAACAAGGGCATAGCGTGTGCAAAAGTAGCAAGAATATGGGCCTAGCGTGAGCAAAATAAAAAGAAACAAGGGCATCAAGCGTGTGCAAAATAAAAAGAACAAGGGCCTAGCGTGTGCAAAATAAAAAGAACAAGGGCCTAGCGTGTGCAAATAGCAAGAACAAGGGTTCTTAGCGTGTGCAAAATTGCAAGAAAAGGGCCTAGCGTGTGCAAAATTGCAAGAACAAGGGGCCTAGCGAGTGCAAAATAGCAAGAGCAAGGGCCTAGCGTGTGCAAAAAAATCAAGAACAAGGGCCTAGCGTTCGCAAAATAGCAAGAGCAAGGGCCTAGCGTGTGCAAAATAAAAAGAACAAGGGTCTAGCATGTACAAATTGCAAGAACAAGGGCTAGCGTGTGCAAAATAAAAAGAACAAGGGCATAACGTGTGCAAAATCAAAAGAACAAGGGCCAAGCGTGTGCAAAATTGCAAGAACAAGGGCCTAGCGTGTGCAAAATTGCAAAGAGCAAGGGCCCTAGCTGTCGAGAATAATAGGTAAGTTGAGAGATGGGGCCTAGGCTTAGTAGCTTAGGCCCGAACTTAGGTATCGAGCGGGTTATACCCTAGGCGAGGTGTTCGAGTGAGTTGAGAGAGGAGTTGGAGAAAAGTGATGGTTTCACTATAGGTTCAAGGGTACATATAGCATAGAAACCAAATAAGTGCACCACCAACAACAGTTTAAATAACTACACTAACTACAACTACAAGCAGTTATAAAACATGACAATATATTTCGACACTAGCGTGTGCAAAGTTGCCAGAACAAGGGCCTAGCGAGTGCAAAATAGCAAGAGCAAGGGCCTAGCGTGTGCAAAAAAATTAAGAACAAGGGCCTAGCGTTCGCGAAATAGCAAGAACAAGGGCCCTAGCGTGTGCAAAAAAAAAAAACAAGGGTCTAGCATGTGCAAAATTGCAAGAACAAGGGCATAGCGTGTGCAAAATAAAAAAAACAAGGGCATAGCGTGTGCAAAATAGCAAGAACAAAGGCCTAGCGTGTGCAAAATAAAAGAACAAAGGCCTAGCGTGTGCAAAATAAAAAGAACAAGGGCATAGCGTGTGCAAAATAGCAAGGACAAGGGCCTAGCGTGGCAGCAAAATAAAAAGAACAAGTGCCTAGCGTGTGCAAAATAAAAAGAACATGGGCCTAGCGTGTGCAAAATTGAAAGAACAAGGGGGCCTAGCGTGTGCAAAATTGCAAGAACAAGGGCCTAGCGAGTGCAAAATAGCAAGAGCAAGGGCCTAGCGTGTGCAAAAAATCAAGAACAAGGGCCTAGCGTTCGCGAAAATGCAAGAGCAAGGGCCTAGTGTGTGCAAAATAAAAAGAAACAAGGGTCTAGCATGTGCAAAATTGCAAGAACAAGGGCCAAGCGTGTGCAAAATAAAAAGACCTATAGCATAGCATATGCAAAATAGCAAGAAGAAGGGCCTAGCGTGTGCATAATAAAAAGAACAAGGGCCTAGCGTGGCAAAATAAAAAGAACAAGAGCCTAGCGTGTGCAAAAATAGCAAGAACAAGGGCTAGCGTGTGCAAAATTGCAAGAACAAGGCCTAGCGTGTGCAAAATTGCAAGAACAAGGCCTAGCGAGTGCAAAATAGCAAGAGCAAGGGCCTAGCGTGTGCAAAAAATCAAGAACAAGGGCCTAGCGTTCGCAAAATAGCAAGAGCAAGGGCCTAGCGTGTGCAAAATAAAAAGAACAAGGGTCTAGCATGTGCAAAATTGCAAGAACAAGGGCCTAGCGTGTGCAAAATAAACAGAACAAGGCATCATAGCGTGTGCAAAATCAAAAAGAACAAGGGCCAAGCGTGTGCAAAATAAAAAGAACAAGGGCCTAGCGTGTGCAAAATTGCAAGAGCAAGGGCCTAGCTGTCGAGAATAATAGGTAAGTTGAGAGGTGGGGCCTAGGCTTAGTTGCTTAGGCCCGAACTTAGGTATCGAGCGGGTTATACCCTAGGCGAGGTGTCGAGTGAGTTGAGAGAGGAGTTGGAGAAAAGTGATGGTTTCACTATAGGTTCAAGGGTACATATAGTATAGAAACCAAATAAGGTGCACCACCAACAACAGTTTAAATAACTACACTAACTACAACTACAAGCAGTTATAAAACATGACAATATATTTCGACACTAGCGTGTGCAAAGTTGCCAGAACAAGGGCCTAGCGAGTGCAAAATAGCAAGAGCAAGGGCCTAGCGTGAGCCAAAAAATAAGAACAAGGGCCTAGCGTTCGCGAAATAGCAAGAACAAGGGCCTAGCGTGTGCAAAATAAAAAGAACAAGGGTCTAGCATGTGCAAAATTGCAAGAACAAGGGCCCTAGCGTGTGCAAAATAAAAAAAACAAGGGCATAGCGTGTGCAAAATAGCAAGAACAAGGGCCTAGCGTGTGCAAAATAAAAAGAACAAAGGCCTAGCGGTGTGCAAAATAAAAAGAACAAGGGCATAGCGTGTGCAAAATAGCAAGGACAAGGGCCTAGCGTGTACAAAATAAAAAGAACAAGGGCCTAGCGTGTGCAAATAAAAAGAACAAGGGCCTAGCGTGTGCAAAATGAAAGAACAAGGGCCTAGCGTGTGCAAAATTGCAAGAACAAGGGGCCTAGCGAGTGCAAAATAGCAAGAGCAAGGGCCTAGCGTGTGCAAAAAATCAAGAACAAGGGCCTAGCGTTCGCGAAAAAGCAAGAGCAAGGGCCTAGTGTGTGCAAAAATAAAAAGAACAAGGGTCTAGTATATGCAAAATTGCAAGAACAAGGGCCAAGCGTGTGCAAAATAAAAAGGACCTATGGCATAGCATATGCAAAAATAGCAAGAAGAAGGGCCTAGCGTGTGCAAAATAAAAAGAACAAGGGCCTAGCGTGTGCAAAATAAAAAGAACAAGGGCCTAGCGTGTGCAAAATAGCAAGAACAAGGGCCTAGCGTGTGCAAAATTGCAAGAACAAGGGCCTAGCGTGTGCAAAATTGCAAGAATAAGGGCCTAGCGAGTGCAAAATAGCAAGAGCAAGGGCCTAGCGGTGCAAAACATCAAGAACAAGGCCCCTAGCGTTCGCAAAATAGCAAGAGCAAGGGCCTAGCGTGTGCAAAATAAAAAGAACAGGGTCTAGCATGTGCAAAAATGCAAGAACAAGGGCCTAGCGTGTGCAAAATAAAAAGAACAAGGGCATAGCGTGTGCAAAATCAAAAGAACAAGGACCAAGCGTGTGCAAAATAAAAATAACAAGGGCCTAGCGTGTGCAAAAATTGCAAGAGCAAGGGCCTAGCGTGTGAAACGTTGCAAGAACAAGGGGCCTAGCGAGTGCAAAATAGCAAGAGCAAGGGCCTAGCGTGTGCAAAAAATAAGAAACAAGGGCCTAGCGTTCGCGAAATAGCAAGAACAAGGGCCTAGCGTGTGCAAAATAGAAAAAACAGGGTCTAGCGTGTGCAAAATTGCAAGAACAAGGGCCTAGCATGTGCAAAATAAAAAAAACAAGGGCATAGCGTGTGCAGAATAGCAAGAACAAGGGCTAGCGTGTGCAAAATAAAAAGAACAAGGGCCTAGCAGTGTGCAAAATAAAAAAAAACAAGGGCCTAGCGTGTGCAAAATTGCAAGAACAAGGGCCTAGCCTGTGCAAAATTGCAAGAACAAGGGTCCTAGCGAGTGGAAAATAGCAGGAGCAAGGGCCTAGTGTGTGCAAAAAATCAAAAAACAAGGGCCTAGCGTTCGCGAAAATAGCAAGAACAAGGGCCTAGCGTGTGCAAAATAAAAAGAACAAGGTCTAGCCGTGCAAAATTGCAAGAACAAGGGCCTAGCGTGTGCAAAATAAAAAAAACAAGGTCATAGCATAGCGGTGCAAAATAGCAAGAACAAGGGCCTAGCGTGTGCAAAATAAAAAGAACAAAGGCCTAGCGTGTGCAAAATAAAAAGAACAAGGGCACATAGCGTGTGCAAAATAGCAAGGACAAGGGGCCTAGCGTGTGCAAAATAAAAAGAACAAGGGCCTAGCGTGTGCAAAATAAAAAGAACAAGGGCCCTAGCGTCGTGCAAAATTTGAAAGAACAAGGGCCTAGCGTGTGCAAAATTGCAAGAACAAGGGCCATACGAGTGCAAAATAGCAAGTAGCAAGGGCCTAGCGTGGCAAAAAATCAAGAACAAGGGCCTAGCGTTCGCAAAATAGCACGAGCAAGGGCCCAGCGTGTGCAAAATAAAAGAACAAGGGTTCCTTTCTAGCATGTGCAAAATTTGCCAAGAACAAGGCCCTAGCGTGTGCCAAACTAAAAAGAACAAGGGCATCATAGCGTGTGCAAAATCAAAGAACAAGGGCCAAGCGTGTGCAAAATAAAAAGAACAAGGGCCTAGCGTGTGCAAAATTGCAAGAGCAAGGGCCTAGCTTGTGAAAAGTTGCCAGAACAAGGGCCAGCGAGTGCAAAATAGCAAGAGCAAGGGCCTAGCGTGTGCAAAAAAAATAAAAACAAGGGCCTAGCGTTCGCGAAATAGCAAGAACAAGGGCCTAGCGTGTGCAAAATAAAAAGAACAAGGGTCTAGCGTGTGCAAAATTGCAAGAACAAGGGCCTAGCGTGTGCAAAATAAAAAAAACAAGGGCATAGCGTGTGCAGAATAGCAAGAACAAGGGCCTAGCGTGTGCAAAATAAAAAGAACAAGGGCCTAGCGTGTGCAAAATAAAAAAACAAGGGCCTAGCGTGTGCAAAATTGCAAGAACGAGGGCATAGCGTGTGCAAAATAGCAAGAACAAGGGCCTAGCGTGTTCAAAATAAAAAGAACAAGGGCCAAGCGTATGCAAAATAAAAAGAACAAGGGCCTAG